GAGAAGAGGTACTATTTTAACATTTATCTGAATCTCTGATGCCTAAATCCACACTCTTATTCCAGTGCAGTCCCTCAGAGAGTGCTGCCTGTTTGCACTCATCAGCTGAAGCGTATAGGTGTGAAGACTGATTACCAAACACTAATCAGACTAAGCGTATATTTGGTCATAGAGACTTCTGAAATCCTGCGTAATGGCAGATGCAAAAACTCAAACATGTATCTGGTTTTATGTTGCCTCTGTACACTGGTAGCCAGCAGACCGGAACAGTTATTCCTTCAGTCCTGCTGCAGTCTTTGGTCTTTGTTGTGGCTGTGTGTCATATTCTGGGGATGAGGATGCAGAGAGATCTCCAGCAGCTCCCAGGCATTTAAGTATAGTTGCATGAGTGTTATTGATGATAAAGCTGGCACCACTGACCATGTCATCTTAAAGTTATCTTCTTCCTTCCAGGCAGGTGTTTGTGTGCAGTGGGTTTTTGGTAGTTGGAGAGGGGGCTACAGATGTGGCTCATGTGAGAAGCTTCTTGAAGCTTCCACAGTTCCAAGTCAGACCCTCCTCTGGCCAAGGCTGAGCCAATTAGCGACGGTTGCTGTGCATCTGTGATAACATATTAAGAAAGAAAACCTGAGAGGAGAGGGAGTTGAGAGTGAAATACCTATGCAAACACCAAGGTCAGTGGAGGAAGAGAAGAGGGGGGGGGCGAGGTGTGCTGTATCAGAGATTCCCCTGCAGCCCCTGGTGAGAGGGCAGGCTGTGCCCCTGCAGCCCGTGGAGGTCCATGATGAAGCAGATGCCAACCTGCAGCCTGAGGAGGACCCCATGCCAGAGCAGGTGGCTGCACCTGAAGAAGGCCGGGACTCAGAGGGAAGCCCGTGCTGGAGCAGTCTGCTGCTGGGAGGACTGCAGCCCGTGGGAAGTACCCATGCTGGAGCAGTACATGACGAGCTGCAGCCTGTGGGAAGGACTCACACCAGGGAGAGTTTGTGAAGGACTGTCTCCCATGAGAGGGACCTCACGCTGGAGCAGGGGAAGAGTGTGAGGAGTCCTCCCCCTGAGGAGAAAGGAGCAACAGAGTCAATGGGTGACAAGCTAATCACAACCCCCATCCCCTGATCTCTGTGACACTCAGGCAAGGAAGTAGAGAAATCAGGAGCAAAACTGAGCCCGGGAAGAAGGGAGAGGTGGGGGAAGGTGTTTTTAAGATGTGGTTGTATTTCTTACTGTCCTACTCTGTTTGACTCGTAAATTAGTGGTGATGGTGATGTTCAAATTAAATTGGCCCAAAAGAGACCCACTCCCCACTCCCAGCTGCTCTTGTTGAAGGACATTTTCCAAGTTATGTCTTAAAAGGTTTCCTTTTAAACCCGGGATTATGCATAACTGTTAGGGACTGCCCGCTTGGAAAACTAATGTGGAATACTTATTCCAGTTCTCAGCAGCATACACAAAACTAAATTTTGCTTCCTGGAAGAGGCCAATATTAATTCACAGTGTAAGGTGTCACTTGGTGCCCCCATCACACCAAACAAGTCCTTTATTTGTCCGTTAGGATTAAATAAATTCTCTCCCTCGCTGAATACCCTGGATGGTATAAAGGTGCCTGCTGGGAAGCTTGTGTAAAATAGGTGCCTTCTTTGTTCAGTTCTACATCTTTGACAGAAAGCCCTGAGTGTTGCCTTCAGAGGTGTAGGCCTTACTCTTTTTCCATTGCTTTGCTCAATGCAGAAATTAAATTTGTGTTGCTGCTTCCACTAGAAACTCAAGCACCTAATGGTAATGACCTTGCAAATTCTAGATGGCAATCTGTCTGAAGAGTTACTTGCGAAATGGAAACACAGTACGTGATTGCTTTGCAACAAAATCAATTAAAATGTCCATTGTTGTTTATTCTCCATAATTTACTATGAGTCTTTATTATTTCTATTGCAGTAGCACCTAGAGGCACTTGCAAGAAGTGGGAACTACATGAAGCAACACCCTGCGCAAGCCCATGGGAAAGCGGGATATTTTCCTTGGATGTCTTGCAATCTCTGTGAAGACAAGCTGAAACAGGTGAGTGAGAAGTTTCACCCAGTTCCTCACACCTCTATTTTTTTGTAGAGCCGGTCCAAACCACTATAGCTTGTTCCAAGAACATTTTTCCAGCTAAACCAGAATAATACTTTGTTAAATGAAGCTGGTGTTTCCTATTTGGTGTTGCAAGCAAACCATGTTATATTCATCAGCTCTCATTTGTTTAGCCTTTCTCACCTGTGGAGGCCTGCTCACCTTTTTATTACACCTGCCTCAATGCGCCTATTACTTTGGTCAGATGATCTTGGCTTTAGACTTCCCATGTGGGATCACATCAGACTGAGGAGGCTGACAGCAATCATCTGCCTTGATGCTGCCAGTACTCACTTACATATACATGTAGTATGTCAGGTGATGCTGAATCAAGTCTTTTTATCTTTCCATCTTTGTACCTGCCCTAGTGTATTTTGATGGCTGCTCTATCTACCTGTGCCAGCGTGTCCCTATCTAACCTTAGAAGGTCCTCTAGTCACTCTTTAAGATCACATCCTTTCTGCATTTATCATTGAAGTCATTGAAACTTGTTCATTTTTATTACAAGTAGACAAAGTTATTTATTGCCTAGTATCAAAAGCTTGGGATTTGAACTCAATTGATCAGTTTGTTCCAGTTTTCCTACAGGCTTATTGGATGACCTGGGAAGTCCCAACTCGTCCAGTGAAATTTCCTCTTCTATAAAGTGGTGCCAATTGCATGGCAACATGTGGCCTAAGAGCTCCAAAACCAGGTGTCAAACAGTGAGCTGTTGAATGAAAACACTGTAGAATTTATTTCTGCTTATTTCTGCTTATTTCTGCTTATTTCTGCTTATTATTGCAGCAGTCTGGAGACACACAGCACTTGTTGCTGTGAGCAAATAGGTGCAGGGGGCGTATTGAGTGTGCCACATGCTGTGCATAAGCACTGCTATGCTAACAAATTCAAGGTTTGACCTATTAACAGCAGTGTATGGCTCCTGATTGGCATTAACATTCATTTACTGAGTCTCTGTGAGCACCATACTACCACTTGCTGATTAACTCAGTATTTGTTGTTGAAGTAGAGAATATGGCCAGAACTGTCACAGGGGAGTCCCTGAGGGCACTATCAAAATCTGACTTGGCAGGAGGAACAGGAGACAGGTTTATGAGCCACAATTCACCTGAGGAACAGCCCATTTATGGCTGGACTTGACATTTTGTCAGTTTTAATAGCAGTTTGTCACAGTGAGTAGGGTCCAGTACAGTGGCATGGCCAAGGGAGAGCCTGCAGAGACTGCTCTTGGAGTCTTCAGAAAGTGGAATAGTTCTTCCTCTTCATGTGATGTAGTCTGGACAAGCAGACCACGAGGTTCTGGTATCACTTTTCCAAGGGGATTATAGGAGCCTGTGCCTATATGCTGGATAGGAAGTATGTATGCATACATGTATATATCACACAAGAACACATCTGTGCAGTACATATAAAATTGCAGTCTGTTTCAGGTCTGTGTTGTAGGTTAGTGTCATGCTCCATCTGTGCATCCATAGCAAAAAGTTGCATCCCTTGCTCCTTCCTGATTTAACTGTAATCCCCACCAGCACATCCCAGATGGCTCTGCTGATCCATGCTCCCTGGCAAGGACTAGTACTACACAGCCCTTGTGCCAGCTCTCAATGAACTGACTCAACATTAAAAAAAGAACATTAAAGCATTAGTCCAGTTAAAATGCCTGGTCAACATTGTGAGAGCGAAACAGAGTATTTAGAGACAACTTAGGTATGTGTCTCAGTCTTCATTTTGCCATGTAGCTACGGCCACAGTTGCTAGGTATATGGTCTTGTTACTGATCTCATGAGTTAGTATCTCTTGAAATCACTGAGGAGATAAAGCAAAAAATGTATTGATTCATATATTTTAAGATATTTTAAGGAGACTATTATGACCACATAATGTTAATTTCTGCATATCATATAATTTTATCCAGTAATTCCTGCATCAAACACAAAATGTTTCAGGTGAAACCCATATTTCAGAATAAAAAGTAATTTAAAAATTTTTTAAAACTCAAATGATGAAGAAATCATCTCAGCAATGTGTTTTAATAGATAATTACCTAACTCTTGAAAATCCACAGCTTGAAACTTGAACTTGTGTAGTTTCAACCTCTTGACACTGTTTTATTATGCTTTCATGTGCGAAATTAAGGAGATTTCCACTATCAGAAATCATCATTTGTAGTGATTTAGGCCATGAACAAGTCACAGCACTTTCTCTTTATATTCTCTGAATAGATGGAGATGCTTTAGTGAGTTGTGGCTGTAGGATTTTTTGATGATGATTCAAAATGTAGCTTATCACAATAGAAAACTGCAGGAATACGGCATGGGATGTCAAACACAAGGTCAGAAAGATGATTTTCAGTGTGGAGTCTTTTCCTCTTTTCCCACTTTATAATGCATATAACCCACTTCATATAACCACCATAATAAGCATATTAACAGGGTGCTGACTTTTTTTAACTGAAGTAGGTCAGATCAGTGTAAGGACCTGTTTTACATTTAGGAATAATAACAGAACCATCAAGGCATGTTTGAATAACTGAATAATCTTATTCCTTTGGTTCCTAAGTTGCTTTTTATAATCTTCCCTTCAGATCTGACCTAATGGATGTTTATGTCAAGGAGAGTCTCTCAGTGACATCTGGATCTTTGAAACAAACCTTGTTATGTCACGCTAAATTAAGTTTTCCTGTTTCTCAGACCCATGCATTGACTTTATTTGTTTTGTGAATGCTATCTCATCTGTAAAGACCCGGAAAATAATAAAAGTCTAATCAATCAAGTGGAATAAAACAAAGTGGTCATCATGTATATAGGAAATTAATTCTGGTGTTCTACAAAGAGTAGAATACAGAAGAAAGGAAAGAAATACTGAAGTATGCAGACAAGATAATCCAAGTAGAATATTAATTTTTATTGAAATGATGGTATAGAAGAATGTGTTTTAGCAAAGCCACATTCCTGTTGCAAAATATTAGTCTTACACGGAGATACATAAATGTATATAGATTTTATCAAATGCATGAAAGGGCAGGTCAAAATAAACTGTGGAATTCAGAAAAGTATGAAACTATCGTGACATTCCCAAGGACCAAATGCAGAGCCACTGTGAGAAGGCACAACTCCATTTAGTTCCATATGTGCAGTACAATACGCCATTGCTGGAAGAAAGAACCTTGTCTATAATCTTTGGTTGGACTCGTGGCAAATGTTAACATTTTAACACTGCTGACTCAAGGGTTCCAGACAAAGGCAGTATTTTATGTCTCTTCAGTGTTCATATTAAGTGAAGTACAAGTGGGCTGGGTTTGTGCTACCTCATTTTCTATACAACAATTCTGAAATTTCTGAGACAACACAAGATTTGCTTTACTTACGGATTTCCCAATAGTCACCGTGACTGGCTGAATAAAGAAGCCTGGATTATTCTTACAATTAGGCTCTGACTCTGAGGCAAATAATCTTTGTTGTTAAAGTGCATTAAATATGACCTGCAGCTCTTTGAACTGGTGCTCTAATCCACTCAGGTCTTCTGAGCTAAACAAGGTGGGTGGATCAATAGTGAGATGGTTTCGCTCCAAGGGAAGAACAGCATGTGCAAGTCAGAAGGTACAACGTTGCCTTTTGTATCATTACTCAATAGGTTTCCCTGCACGCTGCACTGCAGTGATTGTCTTAATTTAAGAGCTCCATGTATTCCGGACCTCTGAGGCTACACCACTACCATGTTACTGATGGGGTGCCACTTCTCTTTATATCCCATGAGCCTTTCCTTGTGCTCATCCCCATCTACAAGGGCTTGATATTAGTGAAATAAAAGAAAGATGCCCTATACTTTTCCTTGACTCATTTGTGTAGCCTGTTCTTGGGTTGCGCATCCTTTGTACTCCCTTGCAGCTGATGGGAAGTCACCAGGCTATAGCACCTGCATAAATCCCAGGTGGAGAGGACAGCAAGCTGGGTCCCTGGATCTCAATGTGCAGAGGCAAGCCTAAAAGCAGCGTGCTAGTTGAGCTGATTTTTTGAGTGTATAAGATGGATATAGATATGGCACTTTTTGGGGGAAAGAAACCCCAAAACCCAACCCAAAAACCAATTTGTTCTGTTATCCTGTCTCAGTTCTATTTCACATCATTATATGGTACCTACCTTCATCCTACCACCTATGAAATGGATTTGGTGCCCCTTAATTTCTAGTCTAAATTTACTCTTGTCTATTGACACAAACTGATGAACAGCTGCTGCTTTCACTGGTGTGTGAATGAAACCATCTATTTCCCTGTCTCCCCCAGCAATGAATTTTGAAACTTACAAAGGCAGTAGCATCTGCGAACACTTTGAAAGCCTTGCACAAGAGGCATGACAACTATGCAAAGAACTACTGTCAATATTAGTGAACCACTTCAGCCACAAAGGGAAAGCATGTTTCTGTTTTAGAACAACAAACAAACCACATCAGTATTTACCGAGAACTTTAAAGATAACAGCAGCTACATAAATAATAAGAATTATTAAGGTTTCTTTGCGAAAAGGTTAATTGCATGGTGAGAAAAGGTATTGCAACTTTCAAGCCCATCTACAGTCAGAATAAGCACCTTTTGGTTACAGGGAACCCAAAACTAAAACCAGCCCTCTCTCCAAAGGCTCTGAGATGGAACAGATACTTCCAATTGAAGGTTTCCATGCCTAAAAATCTTGTGTTGGCTGAATAGTGTCTTTGCTGAAGTTAGATCCAACTTCTGCCTGAACGGGGTGGAGAAAGACTTCACTGCCAGTTTTTTACCATGGAGCCCCCCACACAGAGCTTGTGTGCTGTATCAGCCAGCACTAATGAGAGCGAGGAGGGAGTTATAAGCCTCTCCCTTCAACCTGTGCTAGCCCCACATTTCAGATTTTGTTTAGGAATAAGAAAAGCCTGTTATAGCCCAATATCACTCAAAAAAAGAGGACCTGGTAACTGCATCCTCTCAGAAGATCAGCAGATGCTCCGTATGGGACGCAGCATCCTAAGGTGTTTTTCACTTGTTGCATGAGAGCCCTGGCTACCGTGGCCAGTCACAGAGGCAGCTGGGCACACAACCTGGAATGTCCAACTCTGAGTGGTGGGGAGCAGACACACATCTTCCCATGGACAGGCAGAGTTCAAAAAGCAGCTCTTTGCTGAGCGGCTGCCCGCTTTGGGGTGAGACCACTCTCACAAAGAAAATACATGTCAGAAAGGAAAGGCCACCTGCAGATACTGGACACCCCTATGCTGTTGTCTCAGCTTGCTTACTTCAGCTGTCACAGAGCCACTGTTGGCTTGCCCTGTCCTCTCTCCTATGCTCTGCTGTCAGGAAAAAACAGGAGATTCTTACCAACAGTGGATGCTTCCACATTTTTTAGGAAGAGTGCTTGATCATCACAGACTGTCTGATATTAAGAGTATTTATTGTTCAACCAATATGACTACTGAAGACTTTCCAGTGATTATCCTTTTCCTTTACAACTGTGAAAGGGCTTTCATCTTAAGAATGTGGTTGTCACAGCTGTCGATCAGAAGAAACTTTAGGGAGAAAGATCAATATTGAAGCCAGGCTGCCTAGAGTCCCTCTAGCGTTCTCCAAAACAGTATGTTCATCTTAGACCCACTGAGGGCTCCAAATAAACCTGTCCTCTCCAGCGTTGCTTGTTAAAGAAATTAAAGTCCAGACCCATGTAATGCTGTGTAACTTAAGTTCCAAATAAGGCTCTTGAGATTTCTGCATGCTCGGTATTTTTTAGTCCTTTGTGGAACTTAACCACGGATACAACTATCCTCTAAGCATCTTGCATAATTCTTTGGTTCTGTACCAGTTCGTCTGCAAGTTTCTGTTAGGCACAACATTATTTTAATTTAAAAATACAGCAGCATGGATTACCTAAACAAATATATTTTTCTGGTGTCTTCTTACATCGTTGGAAAACTTAAAGCTTTTCTTTGTAATGCTGAATAGAAACTGAATAGCAATTCCAGCTTGCAAGCAAAGGTACGCCCACTCCTGTTCTCTTCACCAGAACCCTGACTTCTTACTTACCTTACCCACAAAAAAAAAAACCTTTATGATTTGGTAATATATATGGCTAATTTGCACTAAGTAAACTACATTCATTTACGCTAGCTCACTAAAAGATTTTTTTTAACTCACTGAAGCAAACAGTTCAGCTGAATCCTAGGTTGACATTTTTAAATCAGGGAATGTTTTGTTTCCTTACAATCTTCTCTGTCTTCAACTTTTAAAGCTATTTTTCAGTTATTTGCCAAGGTTTGAAGGCAGGTGAAGTGCTTGGATTTATGTACTGAATTAACTTTATACCTCAACTCACTGTAAAATAACCTCTAATGTTCTTGTGGATAATGGGACGTAGTATATACTGTTTACAATATATACTGTTTGCAAAAATGACTGGGTTTAAATGGAGTGTTTTACAGCAATGTGGTTTAAAACTCTTCACAAACCGTCTACAATTTGCACTGCCTTCCCCACACAGGCACTAGTAGTATGTCTAAGTGTCTCAACCACAACAAAGGCCAAAATTGCTGTTGAGAGTTCGTTTTCCATGCCTGCATTAATTAGTGGGCCTGTTCAAGTGTGGCTACACATAACCCTCTCACCAGCTGCTGAAACACCTGTACACTGCACACTTCTCCCTTAACTCCTGTCACAGACTTGGGGAACAAGTGCATTGCATAGTAACTGTGGATACTAAACCAGAGTGTCACATATATGAATGTGCAGAACATATGTATACCACTTGTATAGCATCTGTGCTGTTGTGCCCAACAGCTAAATTTCTGATGTACTTGGCTCCAGTGAATTATATGCCCTGATTGGTTTGCTCTGTCACTGGTCCTCCCCTACGCAGCAAAATGCATGTCCGTAGGCTGTAGAGTTGGGGATGGATCCACACAGCACTGTGTACGCATTTGCAAAATGCTATCAACTGCTCCACTGTGTTTCTGTTGCTGGACAGATTGACAGATCATGATGCTGCAACTGAGGAGTACATCTCCTTGCTTATTGTTCAGTCGGTAGCTTTTGGCATAATTTGTAATGCTCTGGATCATTTCTGTGGAGCTTCATGTAGTAGCCAAAATGTTACCATAGCCCTGGGCTGGCAGGAGGACTTTCCCTGTTGGGATGTCGCAGGTGGGATCTTATCTCTAGCCCCATGCAGCGCTTGGAGGTAGAGAGGAATGGTCTGAGCTAGCACTGCCAGCAAAGGGAGGGCAGGAGCACCATGGGACTACTCCAGAACCAACTGTATCCAAACAGCTGTGAGGTGTGGGTGTCATTTTGGCACAAAGGCAGAGTGCTCCCAACCCACACGTGTGCCCGTGTCAGCATGGGGACACCTGTCTGAAGTGGCAGGAGCGCTTGCACGCACAGGGATACATACGCTGCAGGCATGGAGGAGCAAATGTCTGTGCTGGGACCGGTGGGATCTTGGGGTACAGGCAGGGCTGCAGTGCAAACACAGCTTCTGGGCCAAATGCTGCTCTCGTTGCAGTCCTGCGTTCAGAGATGCCAGGCTGAGGCCCTAGCCCATGGCCACCCCGTAGCAAGGCTCTTGTGTTCAGGGAGCATGTACTGGAGAGGCGAATCAGTTCTGCAGACTGTTCCAACAAGCCCTTCTCGGGCAACCTATGTTTACTGTCATGCTACTGTGGTCAGGATGCATCTCTGTCAAACTGCATTTGCTACAGGGCTGGATTAGCTTTTCCTTTGCTTTTCCTTCATGCGTAGGAGTCGGAGGATGCGTTCATTTTTTGTTAGTTCTGCTGGCAGTTCATTTGCCTGGAACAAAAAAAACCTTGAGGTTAGCAGAAATGAACAAGTATTTCCAAGACATGGTTTAAAAGCATTAAACTCTAAAGACGATGGTACTGGGCATTATAATAACATGCTTATTCCAGTGTTGTCTCCACCACTGTTGGAGATATCTTAACAAATCACCTTTCAGTGTGCAAGTCTCACTTAAGTCTTCAGAATAATCCCAGTGTGGGATTTGAGTGGTCTGCTTATTTTGTGCTGACTGTGCAGGCTAAATGGTATCCCTTGGGCTCCCTATGCTTCTGCCACAGAGTAATAGAGAGCAGAGATGCTGATTTTTTTTGTTAGATTAGGCAGATCTTTAAGTTCCAAAGTCCATAAAAATCCACGGAAAGACTTTAATTTCTATGAAATAGTCAGTACTATACTGTAAGATTGGTAATGGAACATTAGACTTTGGTCTTCTGTATTTATTGAATACAATTTTGGTAATGAAAAGTATTTATAATGGGTATACTTCTGAAAATCAGTAATTCTGTATTTATTGAATACAATTTTGGTAACATAAAGTATTTATAATGAAGCCACTTCCGAAGATCAGTAGTTCTGTCCTGCAAACATACTGTGTTGTGCCAAATTTTATGTTATTAAGAAAAACCAAAAAAAATCAGTAGGAGAGGTTACAGCCACAGACTTTCTTAAACTGCACACCCTCCTGCTGCAAATCACCATCAGTAGAAGAAAAATCTTGCACACTGTTCGGATAATAGTATCAAAATAAAACGCCCATTAATACGAGGCGTATGAGAGGCGTTAACTCTGCTGCCATCAAGTGGAATGAATCAGAAATAACAGGCACAGTTTTTGTATTAAATGACCAAAACAATTAGAAGATATGTGCTGGATTACTTGTATTACAAACTTTCATTCATCCAGTCATAAACCAGACATAAATACCAGACCACCCATTCACAGCTTAACAAACCCATCTAGATATCAAATACTAGCAGCAAATAGTTCATAAACGCAAGACATTGAGAGAAAGACATTTTCATGGAAATTATCAAACTTGTCATGTTAAAACACTTTACAGAAGAAAACCAAGACAAGTTTTCTGCCGAAAAAGTTGCTGTTATAAAAAGCATATGAAACTATATCAATAAACTAACAGATTTAGAGTAAAATATGGGAAAGATGCATGTAATTTGGGATTATTTCTTGTATTAGGTATGTGCTGAATTCTAACCAACTTTTCTTATGAAAGGCACCCAGATACACATTTCTCTTGCTGCAGAAATATCCCCCTTACACATCTGTATGGAGATATGAATATAATTTATGATTTATCAAAACAGTAAGGGATTACTCTTTCCCTAAAATGCAACCTAGCTAGCCCATGACTAGTTATAGTTAACAAATTAATCTGTGGTGCTCAAGTGAGTGAGTGCACCGTTTGGTTATTCTCAGATTGATGTAACTTCACAAGAACCGGCATCACCAGCGGCACTGCCTAGCACCCTTATAGATGCTTGTGTACAGAAATGAATGGACCAAATGGTGATGCTTCAGGAGAGGACCAAGGGGCAACCATGGACCAGCACAGAAACGCGGGCTGCCACCACCTCTGTGGCACACACAGCTCCACTGCTCGGTCCTCCCCACCAGCTCCTCACTCAGGATGGCGCCGGGAAGTACCTTGTTCCTCAGGCATGGGTCCGCTCCTGCTTCGAGGAGCAGCGCCACTGTCCTCACGTTGCCACTCAGGACGGCCGCGTGGAGAGCAGAGGTCCCATTCTAGAAAATACGAGTGGAGATGTTTGTACCATGCATGGGAAGAAATCAAAAGGCAGTGAAACACAGACATTTGCAAAGAACAAACCTACAAACAAGAAACAAATAACATGAAAGAGATTAGGTCATCAGTGATATAGGGTCTGATTTAGACAGGGTTCTGGCAGGCTAGTGGGCTACAAAGGAGGTGATTTTAAATGCTTTAATGAAAATGAGAGTCAAATTCACTTTACCACAGCAATATTTCCTTTTAAAAATTACCCTTGTCAATTGATTAGAGGTGAAATGAACACAGCACTTGCTTCTGCCTGGCAAAATCAGCCATTAGTAAGTGAAACAGAAGCACAAGCTGTAATGGAAACCATCTGTGCATTTTATCTTCTTTCTCTGATGATTAATGGTCTCAATGTCAGACAGCTGAGTGGTGATATTTATGGCTGGCCTTTTGTTTGTGGCTGCAAACTGACAGTTCAAATATGTGTGGAAGCTATTTCATCCTTGTAATTAATAACTAAGTTAATGCCACCTGGATTTTCAAGTACATCAAAATTACCAATTAGTTGCATGCACAGAGGCTATCAAAGTATGTGATATATAGGCACACAAAATTAGATCAGCTATTAAAAAGCAGCTTCCAAATATCTGTTATTTTTCAAGTCACTTTTTGAATGCAGAAGAAAACAAAATCAAGGAGAGAATCTGCTCTCAACAGATCTCTTAGGATACTATTTTTCTGACTAAATGCAATAGAGGTCAGAGTATAATGCTAAAAACTGCATTATTGAGAGCGATCCATTCACAGTAGAAATAAAATCTGATGAAAAGCTGGAGAATTCCTTCTACAACACAATGTGCTTCCTCATTACAAAAATCAAATTCACAATTTAATTTGAAAAGATTCATTTGTGTATGGCATTAAAGGCTAAATAACATAATTTAACTTTTCTCTTGACTTGTTGGGCTCAGGCTCCTTATCATCTTCCACTGGCACAGTCATAAACGTCAGGTCTGTCATCAGACCCTTTGCCTTCTCTGCCTAAAATTTGAGTTTGACTACTAACCTTCAGCAGGCCAAGCGTGGGAGAGAATTTCAGCAACTCTTCTATCACATTGTTGTACCCTTTAATGGCAGCCTTCAGTAAAGCAGTTGTACCGTCCTTTAAAAGAGAGAGGAAGGTGGGTTCACTTATTACCTATGCTTTACCTGCATTCCCCTTGGCTGGAGAGAAACACCAGCTCTCCCCCACACCTCTGAGAGAAGGGTCTCCTCCGCTCATCGTCTTTGAGGAGGCACTTCCACAACACATGCTGCTGGTTTTGGGGCATCTGGCAGGTGAAAACTTCAAGGTAAAATGAACCAGTGGCACCATATGTCATCTTTGTCTCCTATTTATATGGATATTTCCATTCCCTTATTCCAGAAGGTCCCTCCAGGAAGCTGTCCCAGACACAATAGTAAAAAGGGAGCCCATGGTGGGTCTTTGCAATCTGGCAAACAGGATGGACTCTGGGGACACCAGGCCTCCTTTTAGGCAGATTTGCAGCCTCAAAAAAACCCTAGGTGTAAAGCTGCAGACAGAGCACAGGAAGAAGTGCTACTCACGTCCCGCGCGGCATCTCGCTCAGCTCCCCGGAGCAGCATTACTCGCACCACTTCACTGTGACCCATCTGCGACGCAATCCACAAGGGAGCCGTCCCATCCTGCAGACAAAATAAGACTGCTAATGCTTTCGCTTTGAGATCCCATGCTCCCTGGTATTTTACTACCCAAGTCTGCCTATTGGAATGGATATACTTCAATGCTTCAGTTAAATCCTGCATCACAGGATTTATGTTTATATATGCAGAGTTGCTTCCAAAAGCACATGGGAGCTCAGTGTATCAAGTCAGAGTCACTCCAGTTGAGGAGTAGAGCCATGCTTAGCTGCTTTCCTTTGCATAGTTGGCCTGAAATGTGCATTGCTGTGTGAACAGTTAAAGCCCTCTTTGGCTTACCAGCTGTGCCTAAAATACACAGGGATGTTTGAAATGTAGACCAAAGGTATCTTGTGTACTTTGAACTCTATGTGGCTAGACGTAACAGAAGATACAGGCAAATCTCAGCGTGCATGGGCAGATTCTGCAGCTGGGTCTCTGTACATATGGAGTGGAAGTTGTTTGTAGACGCTAAGGAGCAATGCAAGATGATCACTAATTTTCAGTAGTAACATTATCCACCCTCAGGGTATCTGGTAAAAATGTCCTGCCTTACAGTGATGGTGAGTATTTCACAAATTTTATCTTCACGAATGCCACTAGAAAACAAGGCAATTATCAAGAAATCCATCATGAAAAAATTGTCCTTATGCAACCATTATTTGAGCAGAAAAACTCAGAAAATAAAATTTACATTCAGAATAAGCTAAACATTGCAATGGATTTCTATCCCAAAGGCAAAGGTGAGTTGAAGCACCATAAGTATTTCTCACCGCAATTAGAATTTAGCTTTGTGTCTTTTCCTGCTTTTGCTTCTAAATGGCCTGATTCTCCAGACTACAGGAGGACTCCAGCAGTTATGTGGTGCCAAACGGATTCTTGTGGGCCTTTAACAAAAGGCTTTGCCTGTATGGACTTTAACATAAAATTGAGGCCTCATGTAGCAGGGTGCCTGCTTCTGTCTTCAGTGCTTGCCAGTCCCCCTCGCTATCCTCAGCAGCCTGAAGACTTGGCAGGAAAGAGGAAGACAAAATATACTGGGGCTTCCAAAAGAGCCTTAATGAGAAGTTTCAGGAGAAAAAACTTTTATTCTTTAAATAAGATATTTCCACGTTGATCAAAGAAGCAGCCTCTCCTCAGTGCCAGCTGAAGATTCATATGACTTGCTCATGCTATCCAAAAAAACACTGTTGAAACCAGTTGTCTGCTTTCTATGGGCTAGTGACTTAACCCTTTGGAAGAAACAGAAAGGTTATTTCTTCCTTTAATATAATAATCTGGGCTTCCCTTTTTCTGATCCTGAGAAAGAGCAAATGCACATCCTGAGATCATTAGTCTTCTCAAATGGTGAGGAACAGGATCTTTGCCCACTCTTGTATCACTAGTCTATAAATTAACTCATTAAAATTAGTGACTGACCTCATTCTAGTATATATCCTGTTAATACAATGAGGGTTCTTTGTGATTCAAAAGTTACAAAGGCTCTCTTGTATACAGCCTATGCAATGTTAGTATGATAGGAAAAACTGTCCCTCTCCAATTTATAGTGTTTTCCCTACCAGTAAACTGACACTTCCTATTTTTTTTAATCTCCCCCCACCAGAGGGCTCTAGAAAATAGCAATAGGGGCACTGAAAAAGCCTGTAAAACTTGGAAAATATCTGAGAGCAGGCCACAAAATTTTATCTGTATGAAGAACCAATGCTGTGCACATCTATACTTCTGTTTACACAAGAAATGCAAGCACAAGCACTGCATGGGGAACAAAACACCTTTATTTTACTCACGGTGAAGTTTGTAAGAGCAACTCTTATTTTCAGGTATAAATGAAAAGGAGCAGAAAGAAATACAAGTGTTAGGTAACATCACTGTTACCATTAGCTGTCCTTAATAGCATTGCTGTTAGACATCATCATCAGTATCTCAGTTATAGGCTAGAGGCAAAAACACATTGTGAGAAGAGTGACTGTCTTGGAGGACTTAACCTGAAGACAAGAAAGACGATGAAGTTGATGGTGGGTTCACACTGACTATTGTGAGCTTCTCTCTCTTAAGCAAACAGCATCTAACATGCAGGTTTATGCAAACGTGTATAACATTTATATGGAGTAGATGAAATTTCTGTCCATTGTCATGTTGGTGTATGGTGCCAAAGAGATATTACATTGTACTAAGAGCCCACATTAGAATTCTTGTGTAAACAGATATTAGGGCTTGGAGATGAGTCAGGAAGAAAGTGAGAACAGGGAAAGACACAGTTCAAAAACTACTTTCGTTTCCTTGTCCCTCTGCCCACACAGCAGACTGCAAGCCATTATCTTCCTAGAACAATGTTAAATACCTGATATGTTCTTAAGATGTGCTTATTTCCATATTGGATTACAAGGTAGTATATTTGGACTACCTCTCGCTATGTCCAGCAGCCAGTGGTTCCAAACATACTCTGTCTGAAATTTCTGATGCTTTTTCTCTTACCCATTAACTAATGACTTTGCTTTGCAGCTTTGAATCTTAATGTTTGCTTGTGGCTTACATGGGGCCAGGTTAGGGAAGGAGGTGAAATACCCCTCGAATTGCCAGTAAGGACTTCCAGGAACAGAGCGCCCCTACCCTCAGGCTACTCGGCATCATCTCCTCCACTGTTCTGCCCATCAGCCCACTCGCACCACTACACCAGATGAATTCTTGCTAATAACAAATTGCTTGCTTGCCTGAAGTCTACACTCTATAGGTTTACTGGCTTACATATATGTATAATTGCGTATCAAGTGTTAAGAAAAAACCATTAATTTTCAGAGTATTTTGAATCTGCTTAGCCAGTCAGAGTAAAGCCTGCTGGGACACAGGCTGCCAAAACAGTGTAAAATTCACTGGGAAATGATCTTCTCGCTTTTTTTTTGAGTTGGAGCAGCAAAGAAACATCTCCCACAGCTAGGCTTCAGACACTATCCCCGACTCTTGTCTAGACAAAAAGATGACAAAAGAATTCCTGCCTGGCTCCACAACGTCAGAAACAACAGAAGGCTGCTAAAATCCAAGAGAAATGACACTGCCAGGGAAGAAAGTCACCAGGAAGCTTCACTGTTCAGTCTTACGAAACCTGAGCTGAAGAGCCTGCACACAGACAGCCAACACCACTTGAGATGCTCTACAGTGTCAGGAGCACCCGTGTGGGACTGGGAGATGGGACACAAGACTGAAGGGGAACCAGTACCCACTGCAGCAGCAAGAGGAGATATACAAGGCAGATGCACACACTCAGACACATGATTTAAGTGCCCCCAAATTCACAAGGTAGAGAGGAAAACCTAGACACCATGAGGAAGGAGAAGCATAAACTCACACCTGGCACTCTGCAGCCCTGTATTCAATGTTATGTTGCTTAGAAAAGTTTCCTACAGCAGTGAGAGCAATGTAGTTTGTAACTGACAGTAAGAGTCATCTGGTATTGAAACTGCTCTATCTAGAGCTACATTCCTCATGACCAACATGCCACCTTTGAACAAAGTACAAATTTGTTTGTTAGTGAGAAAGAGACTGAAGTCCATCCAACCATTACTTTACTAATTAAACAGTAAAAATGTTCCATTTGTTAAGGAAATGTTTCAGATTACAGTGGGCCCAAATACAGATGCCATGGATTTATCCAGGCATAATCTTAGCAGGGATCGGAGGTACCCTGAAGCAAAGTAAGCCTGTCCTGCCAGAGATGAAACAGAGCCAGGAGGAACATTCAGACAGTCAAGTCTTTGCCTCAACTAAGATTTAAAAATGCCTCATAGAACATTGTGTTGTAGAGGTTGGATTAGAGAGCTAAAAAAATATTGTCAGAAAGAATTAGCTGGTGCATTATAATTATGGTTAGCAGAATGCAGTTTTTATGACAACGTGGTTCACCTAAATCTGAGGCTCCCCAACTTTATTTTGACTGACTCAGAAGGCATTAATGCATACCTTGGTCTATCTTTCTACGCTGATCTTTTAAAATCGTTAATTAACAGCTTTTAACATTTCTTAATCTCAACCTTGGGAGACAGTGTGGAGGCAGCCTAGGAGCCATTAGAGCATCAGTCCAGGGAGTAGCTGGCAGCACAGCTCTGGTGCTGGAGAGGTGGGGGAAGATGCAGTAGGAAAATTACTTTAGTTTGAGCACATAAAATAGTAATCCAGTGTCCTTACACTACAGGAGCAGTGAGGAGACTATGCAGACCTACAGATGCAGCAGAAGTCATATAGATCAATCTCTGCTGCCAGGCTATGATTTGTCAGGCTTTTGGTGTAGATGAAAGGAAATACTGAAAATACCTGGCAAAGCTTGTCACATGCCACGTTGTCCACTGTTATTAGAGTTTTCACATTCATTTGCTCTTGCCTGCTGATTTTTTACTTGCTGCAGTCGGTGATCACAGCCACCTGGCAGACATACATGACTAATTGCAAGGACAAGACCTTATCCCATCAATTTAAAATGTGAAGTGAAGACCCAGGACAGCTACCTTGCCTGCAGGGTTTCAGTAGACCACAGGGGAGGCTCTCTCAAACTAGGCAAATATTTCTGGGAAGCCCCTGTCTCTAATCAGACATTTCTATGTGCTGGGAGTAAAGCTAGCTGTGCAGCCCCCACATGTGGTTACTCAAAGCAGCATCTAAAGTGCTGTTTAAGCACTGATTACAGACTCAAAACCAGCTAAACAATTAAGGAACCCTTTTTTTGAAACCAAGAGAGGTTTTATATATGTCTGTACACCATGTATGCTTACATATCGCATAGTTAATGTAACACCTAGGAAGTGTCTAGCACCCTTACCTCACACCAGTATACAGTGATGCAATGCAGATCTAGCCCTCAGCCACTTAGCAGAGACCTCTGAAGCAGCAAATCTAGCTCATACATGTAATTTAATAATCAAACAGCAGCCCCACTGCCTACAGAGAAGCTGATTTCAGGCTTACAGTTGCCACTGGTTGTATGTGTTTGCAGGATCAGGCCCACTACAAGAAGTAGCTGGAAATGGGGACAGCAATGCTTTCCACATCTATCAAGAAATACCATAGATGAAGGTAACATTCATGTTTGAGTTTCAGAGTGCAGAGAGATGACACAAAGTAAATCTAAAACAAGTAAAACTAAAAGTAAGAGCTTTTGTCAAAGATCAGCTTTGACACTGAAGCCACAGGACTGAAGGCCTGGTGATTTCAATATACCGAATTTAGTACTGTGTCTCACTAGAGTTCCCGGATTTCCAAAAGCTTTTCCAAGGATTTCCAAAAGAATGCAGGCATGTGGTAGGCTCTGTAGACCTTCACAAGTAACTTGGTACAACAGAAGCAGATCAGTAGTTGCAAGAGGTAGTGCCAGGCCCTTACACCAACAATATATGCAGCTGGAGGGTTTTATTTTGATTTAGTTTGGTCCCTGGCCCAAACGTGCATGTGGTTCAAACCTGTTCAGAGGATCAGTCAGCAGTTTGATCTGCTTTAAGGCGTAAATGCAACTAGACCTAGAAAAGAGCTTCCAGTTTTACTTCTTCCAGAAATGATCTAGTTTGCATGCAAGCAGAAATATCTGAGGTATTGCTTCAAAACCACATTACCAATCTGAACTAAAACGTGAATGCAGGCACAGCTGCAATCTGCCTTCCAGTGAAACACCTCCATGGGAACCTGACACCCAGAGGAAGTTCCAGTGTTAATTTTTCATAACTGTAAAAAAATTAAGACCTCAGCTCTGCCCTGAAGTGTTGAATTTACCTGCCGTGGCTGGTTAACCTTAGCTCCTGAAGAAAGCAGCAATCGGATGACATCCAGATAGCCTCCCTGTGCTGCCAGGAAAATTGCAGAAGCTCCATCCTAAGAACAAATACATCCATCTTACACTGTGTTGAAATGATGCTGGTTTTCCACCCAAACCCAAACCAAACCAAACTGAATCGAGTTCTCATTCTTAAGCCATTATGCAGTGTAACAGCAGATATACAGCCATGCTTAAGAAATAATTACCAAAATCCAAAGTCTAGTTCATAACAAACTATGGTAACATTTTCATTCAGTATGCACAAGTACTGACTCCCACCATATATCAAACCAAGCATTAAATCCTGGGTCTGAAATACCAAGAGTCTAGGTAATTGAAGCATTGATCTACATAACTAGAAATTCATTCCTGTACAGCAATATAGGTTCATTTAGCTTGTATATGTTAGTGCAGAAGCGTTCTGCTACATAGACACAAGGTGAAAACACGTTCAAATACTTTGCAAGACTGACTTTGCAAGACTGGAGACTGCTGCACTGAAGTCTGCCCTTGAGGCTGAAGAAGTGAGTACTGTGCCCTACTACTATGCCAGCCCAGCAGCTACCAGGCCAATGCTCTAACACACCTTGTAGAAGAGGCTTCACCTGTAATATAATAATGTAAAAGTAGCACGTGCAAGACAGAGTATCTCATAGTCCTACCAGAAACCAGCATTTTTCTACAAAAAGCTTGTGAAAGAACAAATTGTGAACAACTATGGGATTTTACTTTTCCTCAACATGTCTTTCATGTGCAGATGGTCTCAGAATTTCACTTCACAGAAACTTTTTTCTTGGGAAAAAAATTTAAAAGTCATATCTCATTAAGGTTTTTTTGATGACAAATTTTCAAACAGCATTATAATCCATCCAACCAACTAGAAGTGGAAATCTACATTGATGGTGGGACAGGTGTTTACCCATCCTATATCCACAGCACTCAGCACAGAACATGCTAGGGCAAGTTTTCCCACATGAATGATCCCCTTCATCTCAGATGTGCAAGTACGGATCTCATGCCAACTCATGCATATGCTTATCACAAAATGCAGGGCATTTTAGTGCAAGCCTGTTGTTGACCTTGTTGGCATATCACCATGTTGGGACTGAATGCTGTCATCTGCCAAGAAATACTGCTTAGCTACTCCTCTTCCTGCAAAACTCAGCACAGACTTAGTGAAGCATGAACTGAACACAGTGCCCCAGGACTTAATCTGGAATGTTTGACCTTGATTTCAAGACAAACAAGAGAGGTGTCTGCTGGCATTATGAATGCACACCCCTGGGCCCTCTGAGGGGCTGTTTTCTCTGGTTGCTATGAGAGTACATTAAATAGGGTGATGGTTCAGGTCCTCTGCAGGTTTCCTCCAGAGACAGGTATAGTGAGAACACTCCCATCTAGAAAGTAAACTAGGTTGTGTAATAAAAGAGCTTTTTATTGTATCATTAATCAAGATAGAGAACCTTGGGTTCCCTATTACCCAACTATTTTAAAAATTATTAGGTTTTTGTACTTGATTTGAATTGATGCTGTAATGAGAAAGCTGTTTTGAGGCAATAACATATTTCTGCATGAAATACTGTTTAGTCAGGGTATTCTATTGCCTTCTCCTCTACCCCTCACATAAATCAATTTAAGATTACAACATCTATTTCGATCGTTTGGGGAGGACTACTGAAATGCATGCTTGAAATCCCTCTCATTTGGCTGCTTGTCAGTGAAACTGCCACCCAGACACCACTTTGCAAATGCAGCTTGGTGATGGCCCACAAAAGGAGCCAGGCTATCACTTGTTTTCAAGAGATTGTGTTCTTATACTATTAAGCAGTGGCTTCTCACTGTTTTTGTCCAATGGCCGTGAGCAATACAAATATGTCTCTAAATCTAATTGTAAATATTGCTCATTTCCAGGAGAGACAACAAGGAAGTTATTTTACTGCCTTCACTTCTAGGTAAGTATCTACAGGTGTGGCAGCATGGCTATTTTTAAACCAAGTGGTAACCCCTGGGATTACCATGCCGAGGTATGAATCACTGCCCTCAGATTAGAAAGGCAATTGCTATTTGCACAACAGTGAGGGTAAGACACCCTTCTCTACAAGTGCAGGGTGAGGACAGCACAGAGGTGGGGATGCCCTGTGTGACCAGTGCACAGCCCCTAGCATGCTGATGGCTTCTGTAGTCCCTTGGCTCCCATGCACGCTCATGGGAGCTGAGCGTGACAGCATCCTGAATACCCAAACCCCATAGAAATGGCTGAAAAAGTCGTATATCCCTGGAGAACGACTTCCTTTTTGTCAGTCTTGAGTGCCCTGGGGTAGGAAAGAGTGATGAGAAGTGGAGGGAAAATATGCTGATCATTTCTGTTGAACGCTGAAAACCTCAATTTATTTGTGTCTCTGTTGGAGTAAATTAAATCCAGTGCTTCACTGGCTCAATCCAGCTTTCTGAAAAGTCAATAAACAATGTCAGTTCAGCCACTCTAACCATTCTTTGCCCAAATCACTGACAAGCTAGAGATGCGCAAATACCAAATAACAGTTTTAACTGATATTTTTAAAAAAGATTTTAAGATTTTAACTTTACTACTCTTCCTGGAAGAAAACAGATGAACTGATTCTCTAGTACCTCAGAGGCTTTATAGCTATTAACTCTTTTGTTTGCCGTGAAAATCATGGTAGACATGACATGATCTTTTCTTCAAGGCTAATGGATAGTACAAATCTGATCTGGATTTGGTACCTATCCTTCATACAGATAATGAATCAAAAGGCACCCAAATAATCTTTTCTGATTTTGTTCAGGAATACTGAACTACTTCTCCCAGGATCATGAAAAGCAGACAGTTAACAAAATTCACATCTTAGAAGAGTAGAATACTGTAAAACTGCAACATTTGGCAAATGCTTCTCTTTGCTGGAGCCAAAGTATCCGCTGTTGTCCAACTAACAGCACATTTGTTCCACTACCAGTGTTGTCAATATTATCTGTGTCAAATAACTCACATAAAGTTGGTCGTGAATGTTGGCACCATGCTTCAGCAGAGTTTCTACTACTTTTGCATGCCCGTACTGACAAGCAGCTAGAAGAGCAGTACCTCCATCCTGTGAAAAGCAAAGAATGGGTAGAGTCAGGTGAGGGCAGGTGCTGAACTGAATAAGACCATAAAACAAGCAAATTTTAACGCTCTTCAGAATTTGGCTCACAACATTTCTGTAGTGACTATCTACTGAATCTTTCATAACTTCAGTATCAAGTCTTGCTCCATAAATCTTTAACCTTGGCTCTGTCACTATAAACATTTTTCTCCTGAGATTTTTTTTTTTTGGTGAAGGACAGAACCAAAAATATTATGCTTTTTGTTCCTTATCTTTTGCCTTCCCACTGTTCTCCAAGCTCCTCCATGTCTCTTCCATTCACAACCAAGTCCCTCACCCTTACCAAGCTCTTCCACCCACTGGAGGATAGCACACCTTTCCCCTGCTCCAAAGCCATCTAGCCTTTTTTGGCCAGAACCTCATGCCCTTTTGTGCCCTGCCTCTCATCTGTTGAGTGTTGGCCTGAAGGAGTGTAGGGAGGATGCATCTTAAAGCATGCTAGCTAACTGTGGAAGCGTGCATCAGACCAAATCCATGACCATCAATGAAAGCCATGTTATTTCTGCTGAAGAAGTGATCCTTGCAGGTAGGAGCAATCCCAGGTGGTTATAGTTGCTGCACACCTCCACTAAAGGGAGACCTAAGCACATGCATCAAATCCAGCCTGTAGAGCCACTCCCTTGGGAGCTGTCTGAGAAGGGAAACACCTCAGTGTTGCTAATGACTCCCAGCCAGATGAAACCACTAAAACAGCAAATGTGTGTCCTGCCATCTTGCTAAATGCACTATTCCCCACTCAAAAATTACCCTTATTTCTGCCACTGATATGGAGAGGAAGTTCATATCTTCTGCTTGGGATGGCACCATGTCATCATGCAAGGATGACACACACCCTAAGTCATCCACAGGAGGTCTTCCCTCTCCTTCCCTCCCTTCTCCAGGTCTCAAGCCCTTCCTCCACAAGATAAACTATCTAAAGATTTCACATAAATGGCTTCTAGAGCTGTTATTAATGTGGGCAAGAGACTGTTTTCCCTCAGACTTGTTCTTTGAAATAGCTTCAATGTTTTGTCTGAAATTTTCCCCATAGATCTCCACAAGATAAGTTACAGCCCAAATGGCCAAATGGATCTTTTATGATGGGAAGTGCCAGTCAAATTTATTAACCTGTGGTATTTCAGGCTCAGAATAACCTCATGAAAACTCAGGCTCTGACATGACTGAACTAACCCACAGGGACTGTCTATAGCTGCTCTCAAAAATTCATATTCACTCTTCCTCCCTATGACAATGAAAAGCAAACAAGACTTCAGTGTCAGCAAAGTCACAGATGTGAAGTTGTTATGTAACAATCTAAGAACTGCATATTAATTCTGGATTATTTGAGTAAATATACTGTGTAATCGGGTCAGTGGAATTAAGTTACTTATTGCTACAATGAGTCATTAGACTTTCCTGTCAAATTAAACTACCCTAATTTGATTGGAACTGCTGGAACAAAACACAAAAGCAACCGCAATGGTTCCTGGATTAAAAAAAACACCTTATACAGGCTTAAAAGACAATGGCAAAAGCTAGTAGCTTCGTGAAACCTATTTCCTGTTTTCAATCATTTTGCTTGAGTAGTGAGTTACCACATCAAAGGGCTACAAACAAAAAACAGTGACATTTTTAAAGACTGTTTCCCCAAAGGAAACGGAGAGAGAAAGTTTAATGAGTTAAGAGAGAAACTCTGCTATCCAGATTGCAGATCCTCTGCAGCAAGGCAGGGAAGGATGACTTAAGCTTAATGAAGCTTAAAAATATTGAGGTTCCTCACGTGGAGGGTAAATAGACATGCTCAGTTAGCTGCATATGGGAATAGTTTGTTTGCTTTATGGTCTGTTTTTTGTTTTCTAAAATTCTTGTGTTCTCCGCAAACTCCTGTTATTTTAAGAAGATTGGTTATTAACATATCTTCTGGAGGGAACCAAATGACAGGTCCCAAATAAAAATGAGGCCAGCAAAGCTAACTGCAGTTAGCATAGTGGGGCTGATGCTCAGCGCTTGGAGTACAACTGTGTACTTCGGGAGATGTCACAGCCTGAGGTTTAGGAAGGGAGACTTTTCTTGCAGAATATGTCTAAGTGTCTCAAAAGGGTGATCCTGAGAAAGTGTTTGGTTGAATCCAGTGAATAGTTTTAGACAGATTTTTTGAAAGAATAACACATTTCCAAAATATACCATTTAGATCTTTCAGCCTAGAGTGACCAAGTTTCTTAGATCACCCTCATCAGAGTCCAGGGATCTGAAAAAAGCATTGGGTGGTCCCCAGTTCCAGCTGTCCACCCTGAATCAAATATTTACAGGGCAGAAAGAATTCGGTAACAACTTCTTGGCTCGAAGATTTGGTCTCTAATCAGGAAGACAGCAGGGCTCTAAGACTTGCTCTACCATCTATCTCCTATGAAGCTGAATACATTCAACAGAAGAGACTGGGATTCATTTGCATGGCTCTGTAGTGGGGCTACCACTGTGATAAACAGAGATAGGTCTTTCTGTAAGAAAGGAAAGTTGGGGCCAGGAATCTTCCACTATGCAGTAAAACAGAACTCACTTAAATCAAGGAATTGTCAAACAGTGCGAAGGTCCATGGTTTCTCAGGAGGAGAAAAACTCAGCCTGCTCTCACCTGTATTGGGCTTTCATCTTTGTTTCTCTTACATTTTCCCCCAGCAAGTTCTAGATGGAGACCTCAGTGCTTTACAGGCCATAGGGAAGACAGAAGAGTTACAAAAAAAAAAAAAAAAAGAAGAAAGTAGTAAATGACAGAATTTTAACATTCCTTTCAGCCATGTGATTCCCTCTTTCCTTTTTGGCTTCAGCTGAGATGAGTAAAAAGCTGAAGCAGCATCTTTGGTACTGCAAGCCTCTTGAAAACTCTGAGCTGGGCAGCGAGTGGGAGCAGGGACGCGTGAGCAACCACAGAGGCGCTTCTAGGGCTGCAGTAGGCGGGAGGCTGGTGGTGCAGCTAAGAGAAGGCACAGCACCATGGTTTTATTTCTTACCCATATCCTCTTTTTTCTGACACAATCTAGCTTCTATTAATTCTTCACTGCAAACCCTTCCAGCTCAGATAGGAGCCAGTTCTCCGAGCTACTTCTGCAATTCTTCCTCTGAAACCATTTTTCTTATTCCCTCACAGTCTGTCCTCCCTACCAGCTGCACAGTCAGCATCTGCCAATCTCCCATGTAAGCACTTGGGACAGCTACACCCGATAAGACCCTGCTATCTGGTGTAGACTTCCCTATTTGGCCACCTCTTCCTTCACCTCTGTTATCATCACCTGAAAGTAGTTTAGAAATACACGGCGTTTTATCATCTCTGAAATATGCTATAAGGGAGGGGAACTGATCTTCTGCAGTCACTACATGCTGAAAAATAGCCTCTGACACACCGTTTGACCTACAGTATGGCTCAGAAAACATGCCACCATGAAGACCCTTTTAAGAACCCACATGCTTATAACATGTCTCAGAGTAAGAAAAGAGAACATGTTTCAATTTCTGATGCATACTTCTAAAGATGTCAGACTGGGACAATACAGAACAGTATTATTGACTAATATGTATTTTATAATATATATAAAATAACCTTCAATAGTACTATTTATTCGCTTTACAACTTTAGAAATTACTGCTAATTACTTTATTTTACTGTTTTAGAACATGTTTGTTTTGTCTACCATAGTGAATATCAACTCTAATGATACAAGGAGTAACAAGTATTAAAAGCCTATATTGAGATCTCCAGCACTCTTTACCTATGAGTAACAAATGTAATAACTACGATTTACAGAGAAGTACATGAAAAAGAAGATGTTGGGCTTTGCATTTCCTTTCTTTAAAGTCTCTGTTTTCTAGGATACATTCAATTTTACTTCCTATTTCAATTTCACATCGTCATTTATAATAGAAAGTTCTTTGAAATTTGACTAATTTTGCAGTCCCCTTTAAAAACATGCAGGATCAGCCACATCTTTTCCAGCAATGGTCCCAGCTGAGTGCCTTAACTGGAAAATGCCTTATCTCTGACCCAAAAAAGCATATTTTGTAAACTATATTGTTTCTGGGGTCTGGGGAAGATGGAGGAGCCTGTTATTTTAGTTGTCTATTAAGAGAATGATGGTTTGATGGATTAATTCCTAGATATGAAAACCACATCATTAAATTAGAAAACTGAACTGATACAAAACCACATTAGAAGGCCAATGGAAGACGCATACTGTCAATGCAGCATGGTCTCAATGGTGCTTCCTGCTCAGGTACACACTGCTGCATAGAGTACAAGTTAGTTTCCCACCCAGCCTCAGTCCAAAAATTTGGTGGGTTACCAAAGCCCAGTCTGGAAACTGTAAGCATTTGGATTCCTGTGTCTAGATCCTCATTTCAGAAGAAGAGTTTCAATCCCCAAGCAAGGAATAAGTGAAAGAATGAACGTCGCAATTTCCAGGATAGGTCCCAGCATTAATGATGAATCTAGCAAAGCCCTCATACTACTGTTCAGAAAGAGCGGATCCTTTCAGCAAAAAGGGCATGGACATGATAGCTAACCTCAACTTTTTAAACCAGTGTCGCTTTCATCTTGCACAGATTCATTCTAACCGAGCTATCCTTTGTTTAGCTTCTAAGAACTTTTTCAGGCACTATAGCTTGTGTCATACTGTGAGTGCTGAAGTGACTGATACACCTCTTGAAAAGGTGATGAGAATGAGGGAGTGCTTGGACAGGCGTGTTTGATGCTACTGGAAAAAAGCCTCACATACACATCACAGGTCAGTTTTTCATGTTATGTCCCATGGGAGTTGATGTTGTCTTATGACCAGCTCAACTGGAAGTGGCAGAAAACTGGCCTTGAGAGGAAGAGAAACCTTCAGCTTAAAAGATACTTAGAACTGGCACATGGGCCAAGTCAGGTCTGAATTCAGAAGGGGCAGGCAGGAATATGGGTGCTGGGAGCAAAGTTTCAAGGTGAGCGACAGTAGAGCCCAAACCTGCATTTGTCCAAAGATGGAAGCCATTAGGAGCAGGTGAATCCAGGAATATTTTTCTTATAATTTAGATCTTTACCCCCTTTTATCTGCCCTCGTGACTCATGTCAATATATTTTGCATGTGTCATAAAATATCATAGATTGTCATGAAGAATCAGACTATTTTGAGCCTGCTGTTCACTTTCTGGGCCAAGTCTTGGCCTCTTCACAAATTCCTAGTTCATAGGTTGTGGAAAGATTTGGTGAAAATGTAACAGTCCCTCTAGACAGAATAAGGTACTCAGCTTCTGTCTTTCCTCCTTATCAAGTTTTCTGCATTCATTGCTTTCCCTCCCTCTGCAAAAACACTGCCCAATTGCATGCTGAACTGCAGTGAGTAGTCCAGGCTGTTCCTATGCCTGGGACACCTTTGCTCCTTCAGCGTGTCTTTGTGGCCTTTTTATAGGCTAGATGACTCAAAGGACAGTGTAAGTTCACTCACCCAATTGTATACAGCTGAATGCAAGAGAAGATGATCCTTTGAATCTTGCAACCCTCACCTGCACTCTGAAATAAAAGACTGAGAAGCAACCCTTATTTTAATGTGCAGCTTCTCCCAATAACTCTGTTCCTCATGAGATTATTCAGCACTTTAAAATCCAGCTGTTGTATTTAACACTGCAATGTCCTGCACTGCCAAGTTCCACAGCTGCACTCTGTGTTGTGTTAAAAAGCCACAATTTCATTCATGTTTTTAAATTTACTGATTGCTGCTGTGGTCAGAGAGTTGCTTTCTACAAGCATAGCTCCCTGGAGTACTGGAATCCTACTGCATGGGCATGTGTGGACTCTGGCCACAAAACCTCAGGATTTTTAGTCCCTGGAGCATAAGGAGTTGAGTCTCCGATGTTCCATCAATTCCCTTAGTATTTAAAGCCTGTATTTCCAGGGAATCTGGAAAGCAGGTATGGGTTGAGGGAATCATTGAAATCACAGAATATAATACATTGAAAAGTTGGTTCCAGTGGGGTAAAGAACTATTCCTTTGTCTTCAAACACATTGGTATGGATCCCAGGGTGACTGGCAAGTATCCTCCCGAGATTATGGGAATGTTCCAAAATGTGGCCAGTATGTCAAGGAGAAGAATATTTAATGAAAATATGTTGCTTTTGGTTTTGTTTGCTGAAAGCAGAGGTGCTATTACTGCCTTGAGCAAAGAAACTGTCAGTGATGAACTGCTGTTCTTGATACTGTTCGCCCTATGAAGGGTAATGAACTAGACCCAGGCTCTGCCATCTGTGCTTCTGGCTATTCTAGGAAGATTTTGAAAAAGAACCTGCCTGAACAAAGAAATAGAAGCTCTGAGGTGCATTTCATCTTCTTGTCACAGATGCATAAATGTGAATTTATGGAGGACTGAAGCCATTATACTCTTATGTGTCCTATGGTGGTATGCAGAGACATCACAATGTAGATGAAATATCAGTCTATGCAAATGAAGTACATATACAGCTAAAATGGGATCCTAACTAATATGTACAAAAAGACCCTTTCTTCTTGTATTGGAGGATGGCTTAAGAGGAAAGGCTGATATCACTAGTAAGGGACTGATCTTTGATCAACTTATGCCATTAAGTCTAGGCAGTAAAAGCTATTCTCAAGTTAATATTTTCACAATATATTGTATTACTCATATTAGTCAGAAAATATTCAAGTGAGAAAATCCTTGTATCATCTTTCTGCTGCCATGTCATGTTTCATGTGAATAGGAAAAAACAGCCTTGGTTGTCAGAATGTATCAGCATGCAAAAATAGATCCATCATCTTACTTTATTCTTAAATTCAGTGGAGGCTCCAAATTCAAAGAGAAACTTCACTACATCGTTGTGGCCTTGCTGTGCAGCAAAGAACAGAGAAGTTGCACCTGACTGTAAGGAAAGAATGGATTAAAAAAGCCCCAAACACATAACACACTTGGCCAAAGTACAGATGTTAAAAATTAAAAGTATTGAGCATGGTGAGTTGAATATCAGCTGCAAAGACATGATGATTTTGAGGACTTCAGAGGACACCAGGTATCTTGGTCAATTTTGTTCTCATTGCACTGACAAATCTGTCCAGCATCATACATTTGAGTAAAACCTAAGTTTTGCAAGGGGCTTCTATATGGAGTTTCTAATATGGACCTCTTAGGATTCACTCTCTTCTACCCAGTCACCAGATCGGGAAAGCAAGCCCAGAGTGAGAAAAGAACAACAGAGGAACAACCAACTTGAAACCAACCCCTACTCCACCTGCCACCACAACCTGAGACAAATAGGAGCATGAGATGGATTTTGATCAAGGTGTGGAAAGACCAGGGAATTGGTTATTTGGTACAGCAGAGCTCCACCTTGCTTGACTCTCTGCTGACCAAATGTGACTGCTGTTGGCATAAGTCATCCTTTGTCTCTTGCAGCAATAGATCCCCATGCAGCCAAGCAGCCTGAAAGCAACTATAACCAGTCCTACAACTCCTGCTTTCCCTTAAACTCACTGAAATACTGTTATTAACATGTGAGTAAACCAGGACCTAGAAAATGAATATGTAGGATTTTAATGACTGGACAGAAGAGAAAGGAAAAGGAAGAGGATGGGAAAGGGAAGGAAAAAGAAAGGGAAGGGCAGACAGACAAGCAGGCTTTCCTGACTTTGGGCTTTTCCATCCCATGTAGAAGGTTCAGGAAAAGAGAGCTACACATGAAATTCACTCCACTGCCAAAAGCCTTTACAATAGCACATGGCACCTTGAGACAACTTCAGAGCCCCCTCTCCCAGATACAGTCATGGGGCTCTCACTTCCCTGAGCTTCACAACAACTTCAGAGTACAACAGCACTGGTTTGAGTATGTGGATTTAATTTCAGAACAGTGCTGTTGGTCTTTAGGCCTTAAACTTCATCTGTTTTGCTTTCTGCAACAGAGTGGTTTTGGAGGATTTCAGTGTTTCTCTTTTTGTTGTCTTGCTGAATCAGTATGTCTTGAATAATACTCAAAGGCAGCTCTATGAAACTGTTCTCAACTTTTCCTTTTGTTGCTGCTTTTCAAGCAATATTTACCTAAGGGAAGGGACATGTTTAAATACATGTTTTGTTGGAACAGGACCCCACTGAAAGACACTGACAATCATGGTTAGAGCAAGTTTAGACCAGTAAGTGCAAATACACTTATATCATTGAACATGGCATTCACTGACTCAGTAACTTGCAGATGTCAGCATGAGATTAATGCTCTAGTTCCAGGTTACCAAGCAAAGTGAGAATCATTGGCTTTCATTGCTAAAGTGACGAGTGTACAGACCAGAGAGGCTGCAGGTACTTCTTATAATCATTTGCACAGAGTATGAGGGGAAGGCACTTTCCCAAAACTAGCTACTGACATTGTCCCTTCCACAAGCATGCATGTCATTGTGCAAGAGATGCCTTGAATGCAAAGCAGAGATGCAGGGAAAAGTATGGGTGATTAAGCTGTGTGATCATTAGAGATGACTTGGCTCAGACTAAGAGGCAGAAACTCCAAAGCATACTGAGTCAAAATAATCCCCGGGGCTAGCAATGGTATCCACTCCATTTTAGTGACCAGACTCTGCAAATCAAAAGGTAAAGGACTTCTCCTTATCACTTATCCCATTCAGAGAGCTGGAAATTACTGTGCCAGTAAGTAAAACTGCAGATGCATAAATGGTGTAACCCTGGAGGAGTTACATCTCAGATGTAACTGTCCATGATCAACCAGATGTGCTGGAAATCTTTGATGATTTATTTATAAATGTAACACTGGCATCTAATTTTCTATTATAAACTCCAGACATCTGAGTCCTTGACCCTGTTTATACATGCACTGCACAGCAACTGAGAAATAAGCATTGGCAAAAAGCAACAGACAACACTCTTTTATTGTTTGTAATAAACCAATGGTCACTTAATCAATCCCTGTTTGAATGCAGAACTTCTCCTACCTCTCTCTGCAGATTGATATCTGCTCCTTGCAACACCAATTCCCGTACACAATCTATGTGGCCATAGTAAGATGCTACCATCAGAGCTGTCGTGCCAAGCTGGGAGAAAGGAAAAACAAGTCAGTATCTTCAACAAACACCTTCAACAATGAATCAGGCTGTCTGGAAGAGACAGCACCTCTTCTGGAAAGTTGAAGGAAACTTAGGATCATTAAAAAACTTGCTATAATTTAAAACTTACTATCAAGAATACTTTGAAAATAAGTAATTAGCAGCTCTTAAAGCAAAACCATTACAGACTTGCCTGCAGTGATCAGGCCTGACTGTTCAAGTATGTAAGCAATGACTTTGTCTTATTGTCCCAAAATAAGTGCAACAAGAATAACAAGAATGTTTTTTGTTTACACGCAGCATTTTTATCGGAGATGTCAAAAGACCTTTGCATCATTTTCAGAAGAATAACCTTAGGCACAGGAGCTGAGTGACTTGGCTGAGTCACTTAATTCTGAGTCATAGTCAGGAGTAAGGTCCAGGTGATTTGAATATTAATTCCCTATCTAAATGAGGAGAACAAATTCACTCTGTTACTCTTCCCATTGCATGAGACAACTTTCCACACCAGAACTGTGTTCAAGTTCCCTCAGTACACCATAAGGTCACTGCTCCAGTGAACCAAGTAAGATTTAAATTATATGTATGTGGTGTATGGACAATGTGTAGAAACCATATGCACAAGGTTGTATCTCATCCTTCTAAAACATTCATGCACACCAGTTCAATTTAAAGAAGAAAGATGACATAACAAAAATGAAGCATGCAGCCTTAATCTGACAAAAATATTTAAGTCTAGAAAATGTGTATGCCTGATGTAATTAATAATCAGAGTATTTTATATTGCATTGTAAAAATTCTTGATCAAAGTTATCCATCTTTTGAGAAAAAATGAGCAGCAGTGGACCTTACTTCTTTACATCAATCTCTGCCCTGTTTATCTGATGCCCCCATCTGAACATTATTCCCTCCCTATCAGAATGACAGTCATAGCATTAGCTCCAGAAGTACTGTAGGAATACTTGCCTACATGACAAAAATGAAATCGAAATTAAAATTAAAAGACAGCTTGAAGTCCATGGGCTTAGAAAATTTCTTGCACTTTGAAAATATTCAAAGTGAGAGAAGCTGTGGCAGGTTCATGTTTCAGGTTGGAAGTGGCACTAATCCTATACAACACAGGCACAAATCTCAGTAAATCAGTGCCACCACCAAAGAAAACTGGGAACTTCTCAACCTTGGTTTCCCTCTGCTTTTTGCCATAGCTTAGTACAATCAAGCACATCTCCATACGTTGTAGGCAGAATAGCAAAACATAGCCATTATCTGTGTTTTCAAGCCATTTCTAATCTCAAAACTAATTGCAACCCATGCCAATTACAGATTACAGTAAGGAAATCCCCATGAATCCTATCTGTCACGTGTCTGGGCTTCTATTTGCTTGGTAACCTTACTCTGCCTTCCTGAGGTGCCAAGTCCAGGAGATACTGGCTGGGGGAGGAAAAAGTTAGGCCAGCAGTTCTTCTAATTATGAGAGCTCTGCTAGCTGACAGAATCATTGCTACCTGGGCTCAACTGAGTTGACTCTTCACCATGATCTATTACTACAATGACATTTTCTTGCAAAGAGAAGCCCGAGGTGCTAGGATCTCTGTTTTTAATGTCAGCACCACAAATAACTGTGTAAGACACATTTTTGAGCACTGGCAAATTCCTAACCCCTTGCCACTGATGTAAATCATCATGCTATTTTATCTTGAGTTTCAAACTTGCTTCCTGACAAGAGAAAGTTTTAAATCACCCCTAAGTGCCATAAGACTCTCAAATGTCTCATGTTAGATCCCTGCCACACCCTCAATGTAGTGGGCTATGGAAAGCTATCTAAAATCAGTGCCATGGATATAGGTGCTTTGTGTGCATACACTGTCTTTGCAGTCCACATCTACTCGCCCACTGTTCAGCAGTAGCTGGAGAAGAGCCAGGTTTCCTTTTCTTGCAGCCCAAAACGCAGCATTGGCAAGTGGTGTTTCTTTCTGGTGAAAAAAAAAAAAAAACAAAAGGCAGAACTAAAACACATAGGAAGGTACACTGGACAAACATACATACAAATTCTACATTCAAGGCAGGCAAGTTTCAGCTTAGTGTGCTGTTCTTTCAAAACCAGACCATGGAAGGGAAGCTAAGGTAATTTCTTTGTGCAATTAAAGAGATCAGTCTCCCTGTGCTACCTCATGTTGTTTCACGTCTTCCCCGTGTCCATGGCAGCCTATGACTCTTAGCTTGCTTGCTCTGTAATGAGAGATGACAATGCCAGTCCAGATCCCCAGGGAAACATCACAGAAAACAACATGCTAACTGGTACCTGTATTGTCTGCTTCTGTGGTGGGGCTGGGCACAGTTAGAGAGGCTGAATCATCCTGCTGACATGTCCTGCTGCAGGATGCGTTTCAGGTTAGCTCTCTGCCATCTCCTTCTTTTCTGCATATAGAGTCCCAATACAGGAAAAGCATCACTCATGCATCTCTCAGTGTTTGGTCTGTCTCCTCCCTGGAATAACATCCTGTAAGTGTGGGCACTTGAGGTATCTCCTGGGTGATGCTCTAGAAAAAAAATGCTAAAATCTTGCTGTCTATAGACTTAGGGATTCATTTACTAGGTATGCAAGGCAATATGTAAGGCAAAATTGGGAAGCTGAAATTTAGGGAACACAGGCCATTGTTAAACAAAGTAGTAATATAATAATCTTTTGAAGACTTTCTTAGTCCTAGAAACAATGCCACAGTGTGACTTCTGGGTAGGTGCAAAACATCACTGCCCAGCATAGGAGGAGGACAGCAGAAAGACACAGACTTTTCTCCTGACCTCCTTATCTGATCCATGCAGGCAGCTGCCAGAAGGCTGCCCTGACAGGTAATCACTGCAACATGTGAAGTGTGGAGGGGAAACAACACTGTAATGGCAACAGCATTTATTCTAGAGCAGGCTCATGCCAGTGATTTTTTTAGTAAGGCCCAAAACCACCAACAGTTTAGTAAAGCATCATTGCACCGATAGACATCTTAGACAAAACAGTGTCAAAAATGCCCGGGGGCCTTGCTCTCCAATAAATCCTTCCTTCAGGATAAGACAGAGTGCAGAGTAGATATAAAAGTCAATCATTCTGCTTCAGAAAATGTAATACACACTTCTCCATGTCTAAATGTCAATGCACACATGTAATGTGGTAGAGAATCAGGATTGAATGGTTTATGGTTAATACTTAAAATGCATGCATAGAGCAGAGTTTAAATTGCTTCCTTCTCTGACATGCAGGTAATAAACCTCGCAGAAACCAGCAGACACAAGACCAATCTTGTGTGAATCTATCCCAGATCTATTGCACTTGAGCACTTTCCATGAGTTGCATTTTTAATATTCACAGGTTGGAAAATTGGCAGCTGTTTGAGACGAGAGAAGTTTCAACCATTCAATAAATTATAAGACACTTCGTATAAATTGATAGCGTTATTTCTTGTACCAGCACACACAGGACCAGAAGTCTGAAAACTTCAGCAAGTGCAATAGGCTAAATTCTGATCTACCTTTTATAGCTAATACATTTTCCCTGGTGAATCTGTAGATAATGTTGATCAGAGCTACCAGTTTATACCCTCCTTGCTGGCAACACAGTAGTCCTACCACTAAACCACTAAAATTTTATGCAAAAGCAAACAACTAACCTAAACACAGTGGCCCATGTTGCCCTTTTTGTTCTGATTTATTAGCAGATATTTATTTGTAGAGCTGGTAGTTAGGAATATTGTCTTATTGTCTTTATTATGATATTCAGTGGAAAGCAGGAGAAAGTTATCTAGACCTTACAGAATGGGAAATCAAATTCCTTACCTTTTATTGTCTCACTCTATCACTTAAAGTTTCAGAAAGCTTTTGGTTATGCCAATATATCCATATAGGGAAAGATTTATTTCATCCAAACTGGTTTTCACTATGAAGGCACAGTAGCAATGTGACTGCATTTTATTATGCCTACAATACAACAACACCTTTATTGATCAGGTAGGCAGGAACTGGAATCAATATTCAGGAACTCTTTACCTGTTATCATCAGCTTACATCAGGAGAGAACTAAGTTGCCAGTGTTACCCTAGTCTGGAAGTAGGAGTCCAAAGTCTTTAGCATTATGAGTCATAAATTCCTATCTCATTTTTTCCCCTGTAATTCTTACAGTAGCTCTCCAGCAATGTTGTCCTCATACTTTGGATCAGACTCAAGGAATGGAAGAATTTTCCAGTGCATCAAGGACACAAAATCAGGTTTTTCCCAGTGGTGCTTTTGACCCAATTTGGAATGACTGCTATCAGTACTTGTATTTCCCCTCATGCCCTCACGTTGCTGGGGAGTCCTTGTATAAAAGTAGAATATACAGCACATTCAGACCATCAACCATGTAGTGATTAGATAATAAAAGCAAACACAAATCTGAGTCATTTTACCTGCTAAGGTAAATAGAATGTACAAAATCATTCAGATGATCTGGGCACCCTACAAGAACAGCCTCAAGGAGTACCATGTGGTAATTTCTCTTCAAACCAAGAATCTGTACCTCTATGCACTTCATTTTCAGGCAGTATCAACAACACTGACATCACTGGTAGGCAAAATATAAGACACTATTTAGGGATTAATAGAATAATTTTTGAGCAATAAATGGGTTTTAAACTGCAGGAGGTGACAAACCTTGACTGCTGTTGCTCAGTTATGAACTCAATCCTGTCTCATCAGATAGTTAGGGGGAGGTAATGTTGAGTTTCAAGAGATTAACTGGATACAATTTTCATGTAATACTTATTATAAAGCTAGTCTGCTCCTAAAGCTTCCTTACAGTAAACAACTGATCCTCAGCATTGACAGTCTGGGAACAGAACATAATAAATATTTGAAAAAGTGATTAGCTAATAGCTTTGGTGAAAATGACATGTTTCATTATGTCATTTGCTCCAGCATCAGCAACTTTCAGGATACAATTTCCTCCCCTTCATCAAGATCGCTATAGTATTATTTCAAACTTTGTCTCTGATATTCATTTCAGTTGTTTATATGCTTCTCCAAGAGCCCAAAGATGAAAAGCTGGCATTATATTCATTCTGTGTTGACATTAAGCAAAAATACTTATTCAAAAAATGGCCTAGAGGAAAATATATGTTATAAATCTGCCAAGAGCATTTTTATGCAGGAATACAGAAAAAAGAAAATGTGATTATGTATCTGTATGTGTCATCTTAAGAATACTGAGGGGGAAAGTATTTAAATGCTGTGATCAGCAGCTCCCACTCCCTGCTCTACCTTTGACTTACTGTTTGCAGAGAAGAGGCAGGTCACAGTGGGGGAACAGCTGAGGAGGAAGACTACAGTTCTTATACGGGGATCTTGAAGATGAAAGAAAAGAGGCAATAGGCAAAGAGAAAGAAAACAGAGGAGAAAGAGAACACTAGCTCAGCAGCTTGTTCCTTGTACTGTTAAAATACAAGGAAATTCCCCTTTCTTTCTCAGTTTCCAAACTGATGGAAAGGAGAAATTAAGTAAAAAGTTTTAAGAAGAACTGGAAATCAGGATCAAGAACAATGCAATGGAAAATGTTGGGACTTCAGAGGAAAGAGAGAGGACTTCATTTGATAGCAATACATCTTACATGAAGGATCCTGATAAAGAAAGGTCATTCAAGATATACATGTAAATTTAGACAGGCAATAGCTTGTAGAAGAAGAGACGGTATTCATGTGTATAGACAGTGAGAAAGAAAGATAAATGCTACTTCATGGTTAAGTAGAATAGTAAGATGAATAGACAGGAGAATAGTAACATGAATAGACATCAGCAAACAGAGATGGCAGGAATCCAAGGTAAGTACAGAGTCTTCTAGGAGAAAGAGAAAATGCCAGGCAAAAAGACAGAAAAGAGAGAAAGCAGAGAGAGGTGGGGGCTGCGGTCTCCAGTGGGAGAGGGAGCAGGAATTGATCTACCATGAATGGGAGTACTTGAGGAAATAGAAAGTGAGTAGAGCACTGAAAAGGAGCTGATAGTGATGGAACAGAAAAGAAGACCTGCAAGACAAGGTAAAAAGCCAAGGAGGCCACAAAAGGAGAAGGCAGCAAGAAAAAGGGGCTGGCACCACCAGGCACATAGGGCTAGCATCCTTAGGGTGGGTGCTTGTCAGAAATGAAGGTGGGAAAAAACTCAGAGACAGCATGGAGGGACATTCTTACTTAGAGACAGTCTAAGGAAAAAAAAAGCAGGCATGAAACCAATGCAGGACCGAAAAGTGGATGACCACAGAGATTTCACCACCCAGTGTCAGGCCGAGCTCTGCTGTGAGCAAATGTACCCTGCTCCCTGCCACATCAGGGCTTGAACTGCAGGTGGGAACCACCTGCTGCACCACCATCAAACGACAGACACGGTGCCATCGCTGCAGCACTAGCGCTCCCGGGGGGAGACACACTGGCAGGAGTGAGAGGCAAGTACAGGGAACGAGCTGTCAAATAGAGCAATGCAACACAAGCAACATGGCAAAGGACTGGCACAGAGCTGGTGATCAATAAGAGAAGGGCAAGCACAGCATCCAGAAAGTGCATAACAGGGAAGAAGATGTACAGCTAGCATAAATACTATCCATTAGCATCAGTAAATTGCTGCTAGCTTCTCTCTTTGCCAATTGATTTTATTAATCCTGTCATCAGATTAAAAAAAAACTTATTTTCAGGCAATCTTTTGAAAATGACTGCTCTTGTCTGGTTTTGGATGGAAAAAGTACAAAAAGTGACAGGAATCACAGGCAGAAAAGGGAACGAACCAGCCAGGCTTCAGTGGCCACCACAGCCTGAACGAAGAGCACGGATAAACGCTGCCTCCCAACTATTACACAACCAGCACTAGCAGAAATGATCGGAAAAGTGAAGAGGAGGCTCCTGACTGCACCAAAGCGCACAGCGCTGAGCCTGGCCATCCTGAAGCCGGCGTAAAGCTTCATGGAAGCTTGCAGTTTATGTAACCCGAACCACGCATCCTTTTGGGATGTCAGCGCTGGGAAGCACCCGCTCCATCAGCTGCCACCGCAGCACTCCCAGGGCACCCCACAGCCCGGGAAGGACGTTTCCGTCCTCTTTCCTTCCGCCCTCAAACACCCCATTTTTCCCTAAAAACCATAAATAAATCCCTAAATCCAAGAATATAACGGAACATTTCTCGGGCTACCGGCACGCAAGCACAAACGAGAGGCCAAACGCGCATCCCCCCCCC